TGTGTGGGGTCTCCATGACCATGAGCCATGTATCAATAGTTGCTTAAGTTCATATGGTTACAGAGGCCCATGGGTAACTGTGGGCCACGGAGCAAGAGAGTGCAAGGGAGCAGGGGAAAAGCAAGAGAGAAATAATTCTTTGTCTGGGGATTTTAACCTTCCAAGATTTCATGTCCTTGCCCTGTTCTGCCCTCTAGCCAAATATCTTTTTTCCAGATTAGATTGACGACAGGTAAACATGTTTCCTACAGCACCCCAACTTCACTGTGCATGTGTCCATTTCCCACTTTGTTTGATTCCTTTCCCCGGTGATCTGCAGGGAATGGACCAGTGGTTCTCTGGGGAGCATGAAGTTATAGCTTCCTCGGGAAGCTGCCCCAATGACCCTACTTACAATGTCTAGCCTCCCCTTTGTTCCTTTCTTAGTATTGGTTTTAGCTAGCTAATTAAGGCAATAACAAAAAGATAACACAAATCAGAATAACAGAACACTGCCTAAGAAAGGACGTTTATATAGTAGTCAAGGGATTAATAATCATAATATATATACCACTCCAACACATTCATTTAAAAAAGACAAACTAGCCGAAACCGGTTTGGCTCAGCGGTAGAGCGTTGGTCTGCGGACTGAAAGGTCCCGGGTTCGATTCCGGTCAGGGGCATGCACGTTGGTTGCGGGCACATCCCCGGTAGGGGGTGTGCAAGAGGCAGCTAGTTGATGTTTCTCTCTCATCGACGTTTCTAGCTCTCTATCTCTCTCCCTTCCTCTCTGCGAAAAATCAATAAAATATATTTAAAAAAATAAAATAAAAAAGACAAACTAGATTTTGGAAAAATAGTTTAAGCATATGATTGGGTGAGTCACAAAGAAGATGGCCAATCAATATATGAAGAAGTGCTCCCTTATTAATAATTATGAAAATGCAAATATGCAAATTAAGAAAAAGTAATACCACCATTCAACTCATAGGATTGTCAAAACTTTAAAAGTCTAATAATAACAATCACAAGTGAGACTATAAGCACACAGGGATTCTCAACCCTTGCTCTTGGGAGGGCAACTTAGTGCAGCTTGCTTATAGAGCAGGAGTCCTCAAATGAAAGGTAGAGAGAGTAAAAGTTTTAGGCCTTGAGGGCCAACAGGCGACATTTAAGATATGATATAGGTACTCACATAATCATTTAATAATGCACAAACCAGTCTCAGTCCCCAGGCCACATGTAAAGCCTGTTGACCGGATTTGGTATGGCTTGCACACCTGTTCTACATTTGGGCAGTATTCAGGATCTCAGAGTCCACTTTCTAGCATAAATCCTAGAGAAGCTCTCACGCAAGGGGACCCATTGTATACAGTAGTGGCAACATCATAAAACAACCTGCATAGGCACGGCAAAAGGGGCGGATAAGTAAACATTGTCTATTCAGTCACAGTTCACATATTCATGACAATATATACCAAATGAGCTTTATGTATAACAAGATAAAAATATTTCAAAAAACAATAAGTGAGACATTTAACTGACAACAAATGCAGAGTTTGATACCACTTATTTTGCAAGTTGCTGCTACTGATGACTTGTAAGGAGGGAAAGACCTGGTCAAATGCAAACTGGCTTTAGAATGGTGTGTGGTCATCACAGTAGAGAACGAGGGCATCTGGTGTCTCCACCAGGGTAGTCATCAGCGCACTACAGTAGCACTCCTCAAACTATGATAAAAACTTAATGTTAATGTTAAAAATGAATGGTATGCAGCGGTTGCCAACCTTTCGGACCTCACAGAGCACCAGTGGTCCATAGACCACTGAGTGGTGACCTTTGGAAAATGCTTGTAGATGATAACCTTAAATTTTAAAACACTGTATATTTTAATATACTGTATATTGTATGTGTGGGAAAGTACTGTATTTCATTTATTTTAATATATACATTAATTTTCACACTTTAACAACTCTGAAAATAGGATGCACCTTATCATCTATGTGCATAGTTTGATTGTTGTTTTTTTGTTAATGTTTCACAAAATAAGAGTCTTCTTGTAGTTGATAATATGTTAAATTTAGTGAAATATGATTTAAAACTGGAAGATGAATTCATACCAAATTAATCATATTCACTGTCTGGGAAACAATGATCATTGTGTGGGGAAAGGAGAAGGAGGGAGAGAGAAACTTGGTACAGGAAGAATCACAAATGATATTTTAAACTTAATGATAATACTTTACATCTATATAGTGAAAACATCTGAAGTAACATAATAACATGTTAGCATTTATTAATATACAGCTTTAAATGCACACACCATCTTACTTAGACTGAAAGGCACTCAGTGTTGGTGGCAGCTATGATCATCCACTATTTCTTGGCTAAAATCTCCTTCAAAATACAAGTCCAGCTCACATGGAGGTGGCAAACTTGGGCACTAGGTGTGGGGCATTATCTTCAATTTCAGATATAACATGACATAGAGATCAGGGGGGTTGTCAGGTTCCTCCAAGTCACACATGTAGTGACCAAAGAGCTAGAACCTGAATCTAGATTTTGAACTTCAACTCAATACTCATATGCAGCCACACTTACTAGACCACCCTCATTGACTTTTCAATTCTCAATTGCTTTAAGAGATTTGAAGAAATTATGAATAAAAGAATGAACAATTTCAATTTTCAGTTTTAACTAAAAACTACCTTTAGGAAACAACCATGAAATTATAAAAAGTGTTTTGAGCTGATACTTAAGTCAGTAGAATGAAGGGATGAAATTAGATACGGGTTTTCAAGCTATGCTTGAAGGGTTCCTAAAGGCTCAGAGAATCTCAGGAATCCCCAGAAGTGCTCCAGGGTTCCACAGTCATTGCCATGTTTTGGGCAAGTAAGGAAAATTTAGACTATCCAAGTAGTCTGTGTACAGATTTAACATAACATTTTATTATATTAGCAATCCCTGTAGAAGTTCATTTGAAGAACTAGACAGTTTTTCTTTTTGCTTTCATAATCTATGAGTTTCAGTCTTAAGGATCAAAACTATATCTCTATGTTAAAAGATCTGCAGTGAGGTTAGCAAACAATTATATTATTATTTTTTTAAATATACTTTTATTAATGTCAGAGAGGAAGGAAGAGGGAGAAAGAGATAGAAACATCAATTATAAGAGAAAATCATTGATTAGTTGCCTCCTGCACACCCCATACTGGGGATCAAGCCTGCAACCAGATAATCTAACCATGACCTCCTAGTTCATAGGTCAATGCTCAACTATTGAGCCATGCCGGCAAGGCAACAATTATATTGTTTTAACAGAAAAACAATTACATAGATTATTCCCATAATTCATTATTTCAATCATATCCGTCCTGCATTTAACCCATGATCAACATTCTCCAAGATCTTCCATAGTTTGAAAGGAAAGTAAACACATAATAGGTGCCTAACAAACATTAGTTGAATTCATGAGTGAGTGAATTAATGATGAATGTATAAATGATGACAGCCACAGACTGAAAGGTCCCAGAAAGAAGCATACAAAGAGCTCAGGGCCAAGTTCCTGGGAACACCAGCACAGTCCGAGTTGGCTCTGGAAGTCAGACTTCCATTCCCACTACTCAATGTTCTTTCCTTTTGTGAATATTTTAAAAGTTATTCCATATTTAAAAAAATGCCCAAACTAGTTCTTTGTGATTTTACTGTTTGAACCCAAGATTTTACACCACATAACAATGCATCCCCATACACTTTTTGATGAACCTGCCTTAGTTTTAAAAGGCTTTGCCTATAGCAAATGCAACCTGTAATATAACATTTAGTTACCCAAGCACTTGTTTGATTCATAGATATTTAGAATTAGAAGGGACCTTAGAACTTAAATGTAATTTGCTTTATTTTAGTGGCTCTTGGGCAGAGGTTTGATTTGATGCAGGTATTTTCATTGACAATAGTAAGTGTCATAATCTAAGGAAGTTGCAAGATCATAGGCTTTGAGACCAGACAGACTTGGGAATGTTCTGACTCTAACATTTACACTTTATGTGACATTGTGACAATTATTTAACTCATCTGAACCTCAGTTTCATCATCTGTGAAATGGGAATATTACCTAACTTGGTTGTACCAAATATTAGGAATAAAATTGTGAAACATTTTGCCTCTCAATAAGTAATAGCAGTTGTTTTTATTTCATGTATTCATAATAAAGGATACCATTCTGAATTCTTAACTTGGAACTTTTAACATAAGTGTAGAGCTTAAGTTTGCTTCTTAAGTATGCATCAATTTATTATATAGAGATGTACATTTCATATTAGAAAAACCTGAGAATTACATCCCTTAGTATGTCATAGGCCATATTTAATAACTTTTCTTTGTTTTTAATAAAAATACATTGAGGGGGAATATCTGTGTGACAGAAGTCAATTTTTTTCCTTGGATTTAGTTTTAGCCTTTATTGTGCTTTAAAAATATTTTCAGCTATGTGTTTTATTCTTCCCCCACACCCCCAATCTGTCTCTTTCAGACCCACATAGCAAAAACCACTGAGCTGATTTCTAATTAACTGACTGGATCCTGAGGTCTCTAGCTGCTATCTTCAGTTTAATTATAGCTGTGAGGAAGATGGAGTGAAATTGAAGAAAGTATCTATACAAGGTTACAAATAATAATAATTACATAGTTTTGGTTTGATCCTTAGATCATCTAGGATGTGAATGATTAGAAATGTTTAAATTGATATGCAAATGTGAGATTTCTATTTTGTTTTGTCTTGTTTCCCCTCATGCAAACACTTGTACCTGTTAGAGACAAATTCCTAATTAAATCTGAAATCTAGTTCCTGAAGGAGTTCGTTGATACCTGGAAATTTAGAATGGAAGGAACCTCATCCAACCAGACTATTCTACATTGGTTCTCTGGCTCTCATTCTGAAGTTGAATGTAGGCTAAAAAAATCTGTTAATGCTCATCCCATTATGAATGCTAAGACATAATTGAAAACAGTGCTAAACTCACCAGAGTGGCAAAAAGATGATAGAGAATGAAATAGATGGCAACCACCGGTGCCCACATGTGTCCCACAGCATTTAGAGTTTGGTCCATTACGTCTACCCATCCTTCCTGGGTAAGGATCTGGAACATGGACATGAATGCCTACAGAGGAAAAGAATGGAGGCATTAAACACCGGCTTAAGGCTTGCATGCAATTTAAAATTAGTGTGTGGTGCCTGAGGACTTTGATCTCAATATTAGTGATTTTTATCTGAGTGCTCAGGGGAAGAACAGGCTTAATCAAACAGATGGGAAAGAGCTGAGAACTAAAGATCCTAAAAGCCTAATATCTAACTATTCAGTGCAGCAAACTAAAATAATTGTCCTTAATTAAAATTAGCATTGTTAGTCGTAAATACTGTTGAAAAAATTAGAAAAAAATCGAGGAATGTAGCTTATTATTACCCTTTTTTTTCTCCCCTAAGTGAACTTTTTAATATTTCCAACGGATTACTGTACTATATTTTCCAGCGTATAAGACGACCCCCTAATTTTACAGTTAAAACATAGGTTTAGGCCTATATTCGCTGTATAAGACTACCCCCCCACTTCAAAGAAAATACTTACTTTGCCTTCAAGATCTACAGGTAATTTTTGTGCAATTTTAGTCTTTTGCCCTCGATTTTCGGTTGACTTTTTTTCCTTTCAAAAGTCGTCTTATACGCCAGAAAATACGGTATTTTTATTTTTTCTGCTAAGCACAAGTTGTTTTTTTGTCTTTGGTAATTATGAATACTCACCTGTGGGCATTTTTTCCCCTTTGATTTTTAGAGAGAGTGGAAAGGAGGTGGCAGGGTGAGGGAGAGATAGAGAGAAAGAGAGAGAAACATTGATGTGAAAGAGATACATCAATAGGTTGCTCTTGCCCTTGGCACTGGGGTGGGGATGGAACTTGCAACCTGGAGCCATGTTGGCCAGTGCCACAACTTGTTTTTATAATGAATCACATCTAATTGTCTAAAGGCCTATGAGAAAAACTTATTTTACTTCTATAGTACCCATCTATTAAATTATTTGTTATAATAAAAGCCTAAGACTCTTGGCAAAAACTTGGAAGAGGTGGGTGCAGGGAGGAGGGGGTCAAAGGGAAAAATACAAAAAAAACAAAAACCAAAGTGCACATCTATAATACTTTCAGCAAAGATAAATTTTTAAAAAGAAGAAAAAATAAAACAAAAATATAGGATTCTTTAAAAAAGAATTATTTCTAAATAATATAATATTGGTAGCTATGCCGAGCAACTTAATAAAAACAAATACATTTTTCATAATTATTTTGTTTCTTTTCCAAAGCAAAGTGAAGACCATAGATAAAGCCAAGACTAAAATATACACAGCATCACAACAAAAGCCAGCCAAGCTACAGAACTCCTACTCTCTGGAAAGATCTTTCTTTAGTTCCAATCTTACATATGTTTCTTATTAATTATATGATAACATATACATCTCTAATTCATGTATTCTGTACACATTAGTGGTCACTAAATGTTTTATTTATTTATTTATTTATTTTTCTTTTAATCCTCACCCAAGAATATTTTTTCCATTGATTTCTTTTAGAGAGAGCAGAAGGGAGGGAGGACAGGAAGAAAGAGAGAGAGAGAGGGAGGGAGAGAGAGAGAGAGAGAGAGAAACATCAATGTGAAAGACAAATATTGATTAGTTGCCTCCTGCTCACACCCAGACAAGATATTAAACCTGCAACTGAGGTATGTGCCCTTGACTGGGAATCAAATCTGAGACCCTTTGGACTGAGGGTGGATGCTCTAACCATGGATCCAAACCAGGCAGGACAATAAATGCTTATTGATGAGAATTTATGATCATGTTTGGGAAAGTTGACAATTGGAATCTAGTGACTCTTTAAAAATGTATTTATAGGTCAAGGTACAATGGAAACTTAAATTGAATCCTCAGGTATTGAGAATCCAAGAAATAATGTCCAGTATAATACACAGATAAACCGATCCCCAGATATAAGCTCCTCAGTTACTTAGAACCAAAAAGGACCTTAAAGTTAATCTAATTTACTCTTTTTGAAGATAAGGAAAATTAGTTTTAGGATGATAGGTGATTAGTCCAAAGTCACTCTATTAATTGGTGGCACTAAAAGAAATATTACTCAAGTGTTCTGACTCCATAGTAAGTACTTTTCTAAGTGTTGATTCCTCTGTTCAGTGAGATCTTAAATCTACTACTTCCCAATCAGACTCACACAGTAAGCTCTCTCATTTACCATAGATAATTAACTTTTTTAGAAGTAAGGTTTTCAATGCCCAATATATAACAAACCCATTTGAACAAAGGAATCATTATTAAATGAATCTTGAAGTACGAGAAATGTTTTTCCTCTCCTTTTATTCATGTGTAAAACTTCTTGAGTTAATTTTTCTACAGTCCGATTATCCTGCAAAGTCTTCTGTTCATAAAAGTATGAAATACGTTGTTGTACATACTTGAATTCAGAATCACCAAGTAAAAAAATAAAATTTTCCTTGCCAGCTGCCTAAGCGAATGTTAGTTTTAACTCATTATAAAAAACTATTCAGAGGATGTTTAACACATCATTTAACCTCAAGTTGCCAGGTCTTATCATGGGGGCCAATTATTTTTTCCTGTTGAATATTTATTACCTTCAAAAGCAAGGAACATAAGTTTCAAAGATGATTTACATAAAATATCAGATTGCTGTATTTTCTTCAATGGAGATGTCACTAGCGTGACAGTGTGTGTTCATCCCAAAGACTCAATTGCAATAGTCAGAATATCTACCAATACCAAAGGGATTTTATTGGACATAAATTTCTTTCTCCAAAGTAACCAAAATGTTTATGATTAAGCCCAATAAATTTATTTTTGGTATCCAGGCCAAAAATTCAGGTGGTCCTTTCAGCTGCTTTGGGCACAAACCAATTTAGTTTGTTTTCATCTACTGATTAGCTTTCATGAACACTCAGCTATTATGCATTCAGTAAATGTCCAGGAATGTGGAGCTGTGGGACTGTAACCTGCTATTGTGAGATAAGCAATGTGGGCAAGAGCATTGGGGTTATCCTCTGCTCTTCTTAGAGTCTCAAAGAAAATAATCTCATTTCCTCACAGCTCAGCTACCTGAAAGTTCATATTATGAGATGCTGTGGATTATATTTGAGAGTAAAGTTTTCTGTACAATGTTATTCGTGTGTTTATAGCTGCTTACATGAATAAACAAATGAATGGGGGCATCATGAAATACTTTTATTACAGGCTGAGAATTAATTTGTGTCCTATGGGAAGGATGCCTTCTCAGTTTTGCTGAGATCTTATTCAAAAATTTAAATCCAAATGGTAGTTCCTTTGAAGTTTTGAGTCAAGTGCACTTATTGACTTATATTTTCTGCAGGATCTTGTTCCTTAAACAACTCATTTAGTTTAGTTATTCAAAACAGGGTAATTAGTTGTTACTGAAGGTTTCATGTGTTGGAGATTGAGATGAGGAAGACATGTTTGTTCTCTTAAGAAATTTAAAGGAAAAGAAAAAGTGACAAATATGGTCTGTAGGGGAAATATGGTAAAACTACCAAAAAAGCAAGTTAGAGGACCAAAATATTCCTCTCAGGTAAGTCAAGAACAGGTATGGAAAAATGATGGCAATTGACTTTCATGATGGAGATGATTAGGATTTCAATGGTGGAAAAGAAGGTGATGAACAAAGGCCTGGAGAAAGTTGTTCCTTTGAACTACTTTTCATTTTGTTATGCTATTTTCCTTTCAGTTGACTCAGAGCCCCAAATCTTTACTGGTTTTTACTAGCTCTTTATAAATTGAGAAGATGAACCTTGTACCTGTCATAAATGTTTAATGGATTCCCCCCTTCCCCTTCACTCATAGTATTTTTACAAATATAAATTTTAAATTTCTACGAGGTCTAATTTATCATTCCTATTATTTGAGGTGTTTTATTTTGCTTAAAAAGACTTCTGACATTGCAAGATTTGACATAAATGTTCCCACATTTTTATGCAATAGTTTCTATTATGTTTAACATGTTGAACCGGAAATCATTGTTTAAATCAGCTTAAATCTAGAATTTATTTTGGATAATAAATGAAACAGCAATTAATCTTATTTTTCTTTTCAACAGGTGATCAGTTGATTCAGCACAATTTAATTGAAAAATCTGTTTTCTTCATTAATGTGAAATATCCTCTTTGTCATGTATTAAATATTCTTATGCTTTCAGCTATATTTATGGATTTTCTATTCTTTTCCATCAGTCTATTTCATCCCCAAATTGCCTAAAATTATACACTTAATAACTTGTCAGGCTACTAGCCCTTCCCTATTTACTCTCAGCAGTCTTTTATTTACTTTTATGTTAATTTCCCCAAAACAACTTCTTGTTTTATTCATTGAGATCTCATTAATCTAAAAGAAAATTGCTATTGTTCTCAGTTTATCCTCCAATTTTGGAGAAAGACATATCTTCCCGTTAATTGTCTCCATTCATGAAACTGAACAGACATCTTATTATATAGTTTCTGCTCATTTCTTGTTTTGTTATTCAAAAATCATAATCACATGATACCACATGATTAAAATATTACTTAGTAAAGAAACCTGATGATGGGTCTCTTAATGGATAAGAAACAATGAATAATAAACAACACTGCATGCCTAAGTGTTTCAGCCCCACTTCCCGGAGGCCACCGTTCTTAACCATTTGTCTTTTCACTTCTGGTGGTGCTATCTATATAACCTATTCAGAACTTCTGGATTTACCCATTTTAGACATAGACTTCTGCTATGATGTGAAGATTTAGTCACAACATCACTCCCTACTTTGCTTGACCACTTCCACATTTTGAACCTATATCGTTATTTCTATTTCATCAAACTCTCACAGAATGGCTTGCCCTCACTCTGTGTAATAAGAAGGTTTCAGCACTGTTGCTCATCTCATCACCTTCCCCTTCTCTCATTTCACCCTATTTTGATACTTTACCTCTCAAGTCTAATCCTATAGATATAATCAGGAGTGAACAGCTTTGTTTACAAACGCTTCTTCTTTTTTTGTTTCTAATTACATGCTCACATATTAAACATCACCTGCCAGGTCAGGC